TGTTGATAGTTGATCCAAAAAGAATGAAGTCCTTGACAACTTCAATCTTTTCTCCATTGATAAGAATGTTGTTTATTGGTCCAGTGGTGAGGATTTCTGTTTTCCTGACATTGAGATGCAACCCATACCGAAGGCTGTGTTCTTTGATCTTCATCAGTAAATCTTTCAATTCCTTTTTTCAAAATCTGTTCACTGGCATCATACTGTCTATGCACCTCCATTCTTGTGACTAAGGGGGTACCTGAGCCAATGTACACCCCTTCCAGCCCTGGAGGGTTCTATTATGCATGCACACAGATCTTTTCAAAATTTAAAGGGACAGATTCCACTTAAAACCAAACGGCAGCACAAAATGTCCAAACCTGGTCCTGAACTGAGTATCACCAGGAAAAAGGCCAGAATGGGGCTTGTGGAGTGAGAGAGACAGACTAAAAATGAAACAGGCCAAAAATTAAATCCTGAGTTACATCATAACAACCAACAGTGGCATCTTGAAATTTATCATGTGGCCTTGAAGGCAAGAAGCTGAAAGAGAATATTAAAGTCATACTCATATTAGGCTATAGATTTTTTTATTTTTTATCTCTCTTTACTGTGATTATAGACTACAGTATCCAATCTGGGTTTTTTTTTTGTTTTTTGTTTTTTTTTTTTGCTGTTGCTGTTTTGTGTTTTGGTACCCTCTTTACCTTTAGGGGGCTCTTTCTCTCCCTATATTACCCAAGAAGAGACAGAAATTGCTGTCATATAGCCAAGCTACAATCACACCCCATAAAACCCCACAATCCAGGCCAGAGTCAATACCAACTGCCATACACCAGCTAGGCAGACAACACCTATGACAGTTACTCTGAGTTGAGTAATAAGAAGAGTGAAAAGGGAAACTCATCTGCTGATCACGTCTACTGGGAAGGCAATCAGAAAGCATAAAAAACACCAAAACACACACTCAATTAAGTATTAAGGACACAGCCAACTACTAAAAATTCCCAAGAAGCAGAAGCAGATGACCATATCAGCACATGTACAGAAACAAGATAAACTGACTGAGACAAATGATCTGGAGGTAGACCTACACTCCAACACTGAAAGGACGACAGGCCTTGGAAATGCCTGAGAAAGAATTCAGAAAAATTATTATAAAATGTATCAAAACACTTAACAACTGAGTTGAGAAAAATAAGGAAGAAGTCAGGAAAGTGCTACAGGAACAATCAAATACAGAGACACAGCATTAGAAACAATTCAAAACCAACAGAAAGAGGTACAAACGATTAATAATAGAATATCAGAAATGGACAATACACTGAAAGGGCAAAGGAGTAGAATTGAAGAGATGGAAGCCTGAACTAGTGAGCTGGAAGACAAATCTCTCAATACAACTAAGATAGAAGAGCAAGCAAAAAAACATAAAAAAATCAGAAGGTCTAAGATTCATGTTGGATAACATGAAGAGAAATAAGAATTATCAGCATTGTGGAACAGGAAGAATCACACAACTCCATGGAAGAGATGTTGAAGAGCTGCTGGAAGAAAATTTCCCTAACATCCTGAAAAATGAAAAGATAAGCATTCAAGAAGCTCAATGAACCGCAGGAAGGATAGACCCTAAAAGAAAATCATCAAGACATATAATAATGAAGCTCTCCAGTATCTAAATTAAGGACAGAAACCTGAAAGCAGCTAGGGAAAAGAGAAGTGTAACATTCAAAGGCAATCAAATCAGATTAAGCTCAGATTTCTTAGCAGAAACCATGCAAGCAAGAAGGCAATGGGGAGACATATATAAAATGCTGAAAAAAAAAAAAAAAAAAAACTGCCAACCAATAATCCTTTATCCAGCAAAGCTATCAATCAAATATGGCAATGTAATTAAAACATTCCAGGATAAACAGAAGATAAGGGATTTTGCCAAAGCCAACCCTATGCTGCAAAACAGAGCTTGACATATGTGGTGGCACCACCTAGAACTCAATCAACAAATGGAAGAGTTGAGAACAGAACAAAACTATAAGAACAAACTCATAGTATCTGGGACATCAGTCTATGATCAAATCAATTACAATGTGAAAGAAGGTAAACACATAGGAGCAGAGATCCAGTAGGTGAGAAGGACAGTTAGATTGCAGGATAAATTAGACTGTATTAAATGGAGGGGAAAGTTAATGAATATAAGGTGACCTCAAAGAAAAATAATACTTCACAACATACCAAGAAAATAAAAATCCAAGAAGAACATGGAGACATTAAAACTGTAAGGAAACTCACAAGAAAGATCACAAAAAAACATGAACTCAGCACAGGAACACATGCAGAACAAAGATACCAGCAGCACCAAAAAAAAAAAAATTCCCATACCTATCAATAATTACACTGAATGTAAATAGATTAAGTGTACCAGTTAAGAGACAGAAGGTGGCAGAATGGATCAAAAAACAAGATCCTTCAAAATGCTGTCTGTAAGAGACACATCTCACACACAGAGACAAAAACAGATTAAAAGTCAAAGGATGAGAAAAAACATGCCAAGCTAATTGTAATAAAAAATGAACAGGAGTCACAGTATTAAACTTTAAGTCAAAAACCAGCATAATAGATAAAGATAGACATTATCTCATAATTAAAGGGGCAATTGAACAAGATGACATAACCATAATAAATATCTATGCTCCCAATGAAAGAGCTCCAAAATATATAAAGGAAACTCTAATAGATTTAAAGAAAGAATTAGACAAATCTACAATAATCGTGGGCAATTTTAATACATTGCTTTAAAAAATAGATAGAACAACCAGAAAGAAACTTGACAAAGATACAGAAGAACTAAACAACACAATCAGCCAACTGGACCTCTTAGATGTGTACAAATCATTCAACCCAACAACAGCAAAATACACATTCTTTTCCAGTGCACATGGAACATTCACCAGAATAGACAAGTTGTTAGGCCATAAAGCAAAACTCCATAAATTTAAAAATATCAAAATACTACAAAGCATCTTCTCAGACCACAATGCTATCAAACTAGAAATCAGCAATAGGAAGATGAAGGAAATAAAGTGAAATACATGGAAACTGAATAACACCCTGCTGAAAAGCAACTGGGTAGTAGAAAAAATTAAACGTGAACTCACAAAGTTCCTAGAAACAAAAGAGAACGAAAACACAACATACCAAAATATTTGGGACACAGCAAAAGTGGTGCTGAAAGGACAATTTGTAGCAATAAATGCATATATCCCAAAAGAAGAAAGAACCAAAATTAACACATTAACACAGCATCTACAAAAATTAGAAACAGACCAACAGAGGGAAACTAAGTCACCAAAAGAAAAGGAATAATAAAGATTAGAGCAGAAATAAATGAGATAGAAAACAGAAAAACTGTACAAAGAATCAACAGGACAAGAAGCTGGTTCTTTGAAAGGATTAACAAAATTGACAAACTATTGGCAAACCCAACAAAAGAAAAGAGGGAGAAGACACAAAAAACACACATTAGAAACCACATGGGCGATGTTAAAACAGAACCAAAGGAAATTAAAAGGATAATAACTGAATACTATGAAGAGTTGTACTCCAACAAATTTGAAAATTTAGAAGGGATTGATACATTTTTAGAAAAAACAAAACAAAACAAAAAAACCTCCCTAAACTTACACAGAGTGAAGTAGAAAACCTGAACATACCCATAACAAAAGAAGAAATTGATCAGGTTACCAAAAAACTCCCAAACAAAAACATTCAGGTCCAGAAAGCTTCATTGGTGAGTTCTACCAAATATCCCAGGAAGAGCTGTCAACAATTCTATTCAAATTATTCCAGAATATAGAAGAGGATGGAAAACTTCCTAACACATTTTATGAAGCAAGCATAACCCTCATACCAAAACCAGGGAAGGACATCACCAAGAAAGAAAATTATAGACCAATATCTCTCATGAACATAGATGCAAAAATTCTCAGCAAAATTCATTATAAGAATTTCAGAAAAATATGGAAAATATGTACTATATTAAGAAGCTCTGATAACGTAGTGGTTATGAATCTGGCTGCTATTCTCAGGGTCAGCAGTTCGAAACTACCAGCTGTTCCATGAGAGAAAGATGAGGCTTTCTGCTCCCGTAAAGATTTACAGCCTCAGAAACCCTATAGAGGGGTCGCTATGAGTTGGAACTGACTCCACAGCACAGAACCATCACCACCACCATATACTAGATTATTTATATAGATTATTGGATTGGAGTGGGAAGTAGTTGGGGGAAAGAAAGAGAAAGGCAAGCAAGCAAAAAATAGAACAGAAGTTTACCTTTTATGTTTGGGAGAGTTGCTTTGTTCCTCTCTGAAACAGGTCCTTGTTGGAATGATTTCGATGTATTTTCAGAGATACAATTTATTGTTGCGGCCACACTTATTAAAAAGTATGCTCTGACCAAACAAAGCTTACTTAAGAGATGTTGTTGGCCAAATGTAATCAGAAATACAGGCAAGCCTTTATTTACTAAATCATCTAATGCCTAAAAATATTTTTAAAGAAAAAAGAAAACATGTTAGTGAAATATTTTCTTCAGATACTATAGACTTTATTATTCCTTTGCACTTGACCCATTTTGTATTGGATGATAGAATAAATGGCAGGTCTATCAAGATTGACATATAATGTAATAACTACCCCAGCAGTGCACCACTGCTACCGCTGCCCCCCACCAATCTGCAGCTTGTGCTTCCATAGGCCAGCCTTGCCACATAACTATGTGGTGTGAGTCGTTTGCCTTATAAAACAGAAGGGATCCTACAGCAAAATAGAGAAACAGCTAAATCTCACCAGCCATGCAAACCTGAGAAAATCAGTTACTAGAAAACAAAGAACGGAAGACTGGGTGGACAGAGCAATGTCTATACTCAGTTTATGGTCTGTGGGTGATCACTGTACCCCTCCTCGTATACACCCTCAACTCCCTGGTCCCTCTCCTGTGCATATTTACCTCCTGGAAAAGAAGTCACACACTTTGTGCAATCCAACTCTGAGACTTGAACACTTGAAGTTGAATAAGGTTGGAAGAAAATTAGGCAACCACGTTGAATTGTCTTACTTTAACACTTTGGTGCTTCCATATGATATTTCTTCGGTACATTCCCTCTTCCTCTCTCCTAAATAACCAGCTTATCCTTTTTCTTCTCTCTTCTCCATTCTAACCCTTACTTCCCATCTCTGCTCTCAGCTGGTGACCTTGTTTCCTCTACTAGCTGAGAAAAACTGAAACAGGGAAAACTGAAGCAGCTCTGCCCGTCTCCTCTAACCAAGTGACCATCTTGCGTTCTTTCTTGCTAAGGCTGACATCACCTCTTAGGCCACCTGTCCTGTCCCCAATGACCTATTTAAGACATCACTACAGCCACCCTCTCTTCTCCGACATCACAATGTTTTCCTTCTTTACAGAGACAACCCCTTCAGCACACAACCATACTGTCCTCAAAGCAATCTTAAACAACAAACAAAAACTCTCTAGATTCCCACTTCCTTCTCCAGCTACTATGCACTCTGCTTCTCTGCTTCACTTCACTGCAGAGCTCTAAGGATTATCAATACTGATTTCTCTCCTTCAATTTGCCTTAAGTTCCATTCTATTCCTACACTGAAACAATTTGGTGAAGGTCACCAATGGACTATGATTTGGCTAAATTCAATGTTCCATTCTCAGGTATCTCAGGTATCTAATCTAAGATAGCATTAAATTGTCACAAGACATCAACTTAAAATTCATTCTGCTTTCAGAGATGACAACTGTTTGCCTTATGAGAGAATCTGAGGCAGTTCTAGGGTGGGTTATCTTGGTTGCCATTGCTCAGGCTCTCTTCTTAACTTCTTACAAGGGGTGGGAATTCAAGCATGTAAAAGGACCAGGCACAAAATAGAGACTGAGCTGATACCAAGCTGTTTACTAGGAACATGATTGACCTTCCCTATCTAGAAAGATACTTTGGATGGGGAAGAGGACATCTCTCTTCTCTCCTCTCTCCACTGCAAACAGTGATTTAATGAGCCTTGACAATTACACACAAACACTTGAGGATCAAAAGAAGATTAATTAGTAATGCTATTTAACACTCCTTTCTCTCCCTCTGTACAGAAAATATAAAAAGTGTAATCTGAAGAGTCTTAAGCAGAGCAACAGTACTGGTTTAATTAATGAACTAATAGAAATTGGATTTTCATTATGCCGTCAATCTCCTTTTGTGTAACAAGAAATGATCAGACATTTCCTTTATGCCCAAAATCACTCCTTAAAGGAGTTGTTTTTTTGATGTCCTGGCATTTATGACTGCAAAGAAATAGATACCCTTAAGCACTTCAAATTCTTAGAACATTAAAAGGAGAGGTGAATGTGTATTTATAGCTTCCTAATATTAACTCCATTAGCTATAGTTACAGGAGATTATAGATAGGTAGGAGTTCTGGTATGGCGCTGTAGAAAAAGTGCAGGACCACAAGGTCAGTTTGAACTGCAAGGTTGGTGATTCAAACTCACTAGCCACTCCTCAGAAACCCTATATAGAGTCACTATGAGTTGGAACTGACTCAATGGCACTTAATAACAGCAAAAACATAGATAGGTAAGGAGTTTACAACTCCAAGGTAACTTAACACATACAGACAGATACATGAACTTTTTTTTTTAATGCCACATTTAAATTTTCAGACCTCATATTTCAATTATCTTTCAAATGATATGTTGTTTGTGTCTGGAATTTGTCTAATTTTATAAATAAGTGACCTAAAATGAAAGAGCTAACATTGTTGGTCCTATTTAGTGTCATTGAGTCAGTTTCAAGTCATAGTGACCCTGTACAAGGTTTTCAAGGAGCAGCTGGTGAGTTTGAACCACCAACCTGTGATTAGCAGCCCAGCGCTACTCCCTGTCTACAATGTCCTGTAACTAATGGCTGTATAACTGCTCTCTCACTAGAATGCTTTCTAGTGAACACACCGACAACGTCCCTAAGACTGTTTTAAGTGATAAGTGCCACTAGGTCATCAAATGCCTAAATCTCAATCATTCTAGTATTGTCAGGAATAGGTGTTTTTAAAAGGGTACTCTAAGCCTCTCTTTGTGAAAATTATTGAGGAATTTAAAGTAGCTATTTATGAAAATGCCAAATGAAAACATTCCAAGCCACTGGCTGAGAGAAAGTCTCAGTAGAGTATAAAAAATGGTGGACAAAAGTAGTAGTAAACAAGTAAGCTATCTGAAATGCACAAAATCTTTTTCTTACAAAGTTAGCTCTTTCCAACTATATGACTAAGACAAATGCTAAAGTCAGAGACAGCTGACATGCATGTCTAGGTGAACAACACAAATATAAACTTGAGCATGGCGCTATAGGATAAACACTAGATTGCAAAGTTGGTTTGAATCACAAGGGAGGCAGTTCAAACTCACCAGCCACTCCTTGTAAACCATATGCAGGGTCTCTATGAGCCAGAAACAACTCACCGACACTTAGGAACAACAATAAAAACTGAGAAATGGGGACTGTTCTTGTTGTGGCTGAGCTTATGGTTAGCAGTCTAGTGCTTATCCTACAGCGCCACACCAGGATTCCAGAAAGGAAAACAGTAGTTGATATTTGCCCAGTCTGAGCCAGAAAGGTTTGGGTGGAATCTTACGTCTGGCCTCAGCATTTTGAAATAAAAATGCACTGTTAGAAGTAGACAAGATTATTATGTAACAGATTACTGAAAAACAAATATCATATTACATGGAATGAAATGGGTCAAATCTTATTCACACTAAATAGTCGCTGTTTATAAAGTGTTTTATCCTTACCTGTAAATTTTCTTTGCTAGTAAGAGGCTTTCCTGAGTCAAATGATTGAAATATCTGTCAACACAGAAAATGTTAACATTAGGAATAAGGTTATGTGAGCCTTATTTTTAAATAAAACTGTTAATATATTCTTTTAAATATAACTTTTACTATAAAAGTAATGCATGTAATCAAAGACAAGTATGATACAAAGAGAGTAAAAAGTATCTATAAATCAACTTCTTTAGGTCATCATTATTAACATTCTGACATCTTGCTTAACTTATTTGATATATTTTTTAAATTTATGTATATATACAAACAGATACTCACACACTTATATCCTGTTTTCACTAAGCATTATGTAATAATTATCTTCCTATACACTGTGGGTTAATGCGCTGGACTGCAAAGTTGGTTTGAATCACAAGGTCGGCAGTTTAAGCTCCCCAGCCGCTCCTTGGAAACCCTATACAGGGTCACTATGGGTCAGAACCAATTCAACAGCAATTAAAAACAAAACAACAACATAACATTAAATAAAGAAGCCTGGTGAAGTAGTGGGTTACATATCAGGCAGTTAATCACAAGGTCAGCAGTTCAAGTCCACCAGGAGTTTCATTGGAGAAAGATGAGGTTTTCTGCTACTGTAAAGATTTACATAAAGAGTAAACCCCTGGGGACCTTCATTTGCTGATGGGGCACAACTCAAAATGAAGCAAAACAGCTGCAAGCATCCATTAATAATCAGCACACAGAATGTATGAAGTATGAATCTAGGAAAACTGGAAATTGTCAAAAATGAAATGGAACGCATAAACATCGATATCTTAGGCATTAGTGAGCTGAAATGGACTGGTATTGGCCATTGTGAATCTGGCAACCATATGGTTTACTATGTCAGTAATGACAAATTGAGGAGGAATGGTGTTGCATTCGTCGCCAAAAAGAACAAATCAAGATCACTTATGAGGTACAACACTGTCTGTGATAGGATAATATACATGAGCCTATAGGGAAGCCCAGTTAATACCACTATTATTCAAATTTATGTACCAACTACTAAAACCAGCGAGGATGAAATAGAAGAATTCTACTAACTTCTTCAATCTGAAATTGATCAAACATGCAAACAAGATATACTGATCATTACCGGTGATTGGAATGCAAAGGTTGGGAGCAAAGAGGAAGGATCAGAAGTTGGAAAATATGGCCTTGGTTATAGAAATGATGCTGGAGCTCGCATGATAGAATTCTGAAAAACCAGTGATTTACTCATTTCAAACACCTTCTTTAGACAGCATAAGAGACAGCATCAATGGGCTCAAGCGTGGCAACAGTTTTGAGGTTGTCCCAGGACCAGGCAGTGTTTCAGTCTGTTGTGCATAGTGTCACTATGAGTCTGTAGTTACTCAAACACCTAACAACAACCAGAAAGATATACAGCCTTGGAAACCCTACACAGGGTCACTATGAATTGGAAGTGACTCAATGATACCCTATCACCACCAACACCAACACCACCAACACCACTTTGTTAAGTGCGTCAAGTCAGTTCCAACCTCATAGTGACCCTGAATAGGGTTTCCAAGGACCAATTGGTGAGTTTGAACTGCCTACCTTGTGGTTCAAACCGAACTTGTGGTCCAGTGCTTTATTCCACAGTGCCACACCGGGACTTTATTTGTAATTTCAGTCTAACTGTTAGGTAATATTTTAACCTATTTCTTGGTCAAAGAAAGTAACACCTTTGCTTTTGTTAGACATAGAGGCCATTTCCCACCCTCAATCCACCACTGTTGTTGTAAGGTGCCATCGAGTCAGAACCGACTCATAGCGACCCCACGCACAGCAGAAAGAAACAATGTCCGATCCTGGGCCAACCCCACCACCACTGCCACACTTGACCCCATCAGTGATGCCACCTGGCTAATCCATCTCATTGGGGGTCTTCCTCTTTTACTCTGAACCTCCATCTTACCCCGCATGACATCCTTCTCCAGTGACTGTTCCCTCCTGACAATATGTCCAAAGTATGAGAGATGAAGTTTAGCCATCTTGGCATCCAAGGAGCACTCTGGCTGCACTTCTTCCAAAACAGATCTATTGGTTCTTTTGGCAGTCCATGGCACTTTCAGTAGTCTCCTCCAACATCACAATTCAAAGGCATCTATTCTTTTATGATCTTCCTTATTCACTGTCCAGCTTTCACATCCATATGAGGTTATTGAAAACACCATGGCTTGGGTCAGGCGCATCTTAGTCCTCAAGGTGACATCTTTGCTCTTCAACACTTTAAAAAGTTCCTGTGCAGCAAATTTGCCTAATGCAATACGTCATCTGATCTCTTGACTGCTGCTTCCGTGAATTAAGCCCTAGTTTAAATAATAGTAATGACTATTCTGTCTATGGAGTCCTGGTGTGGCACTGGGGGATAAGCATGCAACCACAAGATTGGTTTAAACTATAGGATCAGTGGTTCAAACTCATCAGCTGCTCCTTGGAATATGTGTTAATATTTTGAATGGTGATTTTTTTTTTTTTTTGATGTTTTCCTTTTTTTTTTCTCTGAATTACTTGTTCATATGTTTGATTCTAAATGTAATATTTTATTAGAATGTTGTTGTTGTTATTGTTAAGTACCATGGAGTCGGTTCTGATTCATAGTGACCCTGCACAGGGTTTCCGAGGCTGCAAATCTTTACGGGAGCAGAAAGCCTCATCTTTATCCCATGGAACAGCTGGTAGTTTTGAATTGCTGACCTTGAGGTTAGCAGCCCAATTCGTAACCACTACGCTACCAGAGGTCTTTTTTTTATCAGAATATATCTGATTTATTTGCTACAGAAGATTGCTGCATCATCAGATAGGACTCATTTCTTTCAGTATAAAGGTCCATTTTAAACCTGTCTATTCGTACAGATCAGTACTGATGCTTACCCATATTCCGACTGTCACCTAGCATCACAAACAGCTTCCAGGGACAGGAACAGTTACAGCCAACCTGTAACTACCTAAGGCCATCTGTGGTCCTAAGAGCATGAAGGAAAGGCTGGAAACAATGAAGGACAAGAGATGGGCTCTACCCAGTCTTTTCTGGGCCCTCCTCAGTAATGCTCTCTTCACTGATTGTTCTCACTTGCCCACTTACTCACAATGTTTCCTATGTTCACCTAACAAACACATTGCTTGCTTACCAAATCCTTGTCTTAGACCCTGCCCTGGAGGGACTCCCAAACCAAGAAACCAGACATAGCTTTTATTGGAGGAGGGGAGGGGGGAGTTCCTGTTTTGAAGATATTGTTTATCTCCTAGAATGCATTGAAAAGTAAGCATCTGAATCCAGAGGAAAAGATTTGGTGGTATTATGTGAAGAAAAAATATGTATGCAAAAGCTGGACAGTGAATAAGGAAGATCATAGAAGAATTGATGCCTTTGAGTTGTGATGTTGGAGGAGAATACTGAAAGTGCTATGGACTGCCAAAAGAACCAATAGATCTGTTTTGGAAGAAGTGCAGCCAGAGTGCTCCTTGGAGGCCAGGATGGCTAAGCTTCGTCTTTCATACTTTGGACATATTGTCCGGAGGAAACAATCGTTGGAGAAGGATGTCATGCTGGGTAAGGTGGACGGTCAGAGAAAAAGAGGAAGACCCTAACGAGATGGATTGGCCAGGTGGCATCATTGATGGACTCAAGTGAGGCGGTGGTAGTGAGGTTGGCCCAGGATCAGACATTGTTTCGTTCTGCTGTGCATGGGGTTGCTATGAGTTGGTTCCGACTCAATGGCACCTGACAACAACAACAACAATGTGAAGAAAGTTGACAATAGAACATATAGATTTAGTAAGGGGAGCAGAATGCTTGTATAATGTTAAAACATAGAACTTTTAAAGACCTGTGAAAAATCCCACAGTAATCTGCACGCTTTTTTCAGTTACTGCTTTTACAACTGAAATCTAATTCATTAATCTCTTCTTTGAATATCTAGGCTAGTGCTTAATAACATTGGCACTTATTTTAATTGTAAACCTTGAATGTATTTCCTCTTTCAATTACGGTTTTTTGGTGTTTTTTTTAAATTCCCACTTGGGGCTGGAAAGCTGCAAATGGACTTTGAGAAAACATAATTTGAAGTCAGACTCTACTGGAAGAAAATTCATCTACAGGTTTGTGTTAGGATAACTATTTGCAAGATTAAATTTTTGAATTTATAGGGAAAAATTCGTTTCAGGAGTTTTGTTTGTTTCGGTGAAAGCAGTGTGCACTGAAGTCTCTCTTGTTCATCCACAGCTTCTCTTTGGTTCTCCTGCATTGATTCCTTCCACTCTTCTTGGCCTCTGAATGTGAGTGACTCTAAAGCTCATCTTCTCATTTTTACTTTTCTTTAGCTGTCTCAACCCCTAATTGATTTCATCAATTCCTGTGGTATTAAATCTCTGTGCTAACCACTCCCGAATTTATGCCTTTAGCCCCAACCTGGAGCTTGACTGAATTAGTATCTGAAGTCACTAAATTCTATATCATCTACTCTAAGCACTTGTATACATTCCACATGGTTGGCTCCTGGAGTTCTCACTTAATACATTCAACCCTGTCCACTCTGTATTTCCCATCTTAGTAAATGAACTTTTCCCCCGCTCAGTTTTCTAGACTCCTTACTCTTGATCCACCTGTAATCCATCATTAGCAAATGTGAGCTCTACCTTTGCCAAACACCCAGAAGTTCACCACTTCTCACTCCCCCACCACCACACACATACATAGTTGTTGTTGTTGTTAGTGCCGTCAAGTTGGTTCTGACCCATAGCGACCCTGTATAGGGTTTCCAAGGAGCAGCTGGTGAGCTTGAACCACTGACCTTGCAGTTCAAACCAACCTCACAGTCCAGCGCATTAACCCACACTAGGACTCACACACACACACACACACACACACACACACACACACACACACACACACACACACATCCCATTATATCATTATATCATCCAGACTACTTGCAATGACCTTTAAAGTTTTAATTGTGAAAATACGACAGAACATTCATCAATTTAATAACTGATCCAATGAAGTC